TAGGCTGTTCTATTAGGCACTTTCTGTTTTAAGATGAAAAGTGAACTCCTTACCAGCTTTCCAGTAAAGGGATTGTCAGTATCTTCAAATAACTGTTTTGAAATAGAACAGGCATCGTTCTTACCTTCTTGATTTGTTTATGCGTTTTTGTTCTTGAAGGCCAATACCAAAGGCTATTGTATACAGCAGGGGAAACGATGCAGCACCAATTAACAATGGCCTACTCCAGCCCTTCACTTACCGCGCTACCATGAATATGGAATTAAAGGGATCTTTTTCATCATAGTGCAGGTATAGGAGCATACCAGAACATTCCATCATGCAAACCTGCAATTTAGGCTGTTAAACTGATAAGGGGGAGGTGTCACTTAATATAGTGACAGTTCTTAGACCAAGGCGCTCCCATCTCTCAAAATACCAGTCAAAGGAGTTTTCTTTTTTTCTAGGTAGAACAATGCTTGAAGCGCCTATGGAAAATGAACTTGGTGGGCTGCATCGAAACTCTGGCAGGACTGATTCCCAAGTAAGTGTCATGATCCCATATGTTCTACCGCCCATTAACTCAGTCTGCAGAGCTAAAGGGCGGGAATGCTAGATCATAACCATCTCCTCGCCCTTGTATCAACACAGGAAAAATACATCCCAAGCCCACGCAGAGTGCTTAGTTCCCAGCCAGCCTATGCTGGAAACAGTGGCTCTGAAAGTATTGGGAGGTTGCAAGCTCATACTACGTCTACTGGACTGTTGCTGTAAAGGCTTTCTGTATCCTTTTTTCACCACGAAGACATTCTTACAGTTCACCCGCAGCACCTCACGAGACCAAAACTAGGTCTGCTGTAGGCACTGTATTGCTGATGGACTCAACTGTGCCATTCATACATGCAACTTGAAGTTTCTTTGATAGCCCAACATCTTACTTTCAAGTTACTATGTAGGAACCTCAGGCTGTTGGCTGGCTGCTGTTCCGGCCTTGAGCAACCCGAAGTTTGGATACTCATCTCCCAGATTATCCAGGATATTGCCTTGTGAATTGCCTCTAGTTGGTGTGTTCAGCAAGCCTCATTACATGCTGCTTATTTTTTATCCTTAACTGGTGTAATCTTCAGCTTGTCTGTTAAACATCTCTGCTCAGAAGAATTCATACTTTTGAACACTGTGGCTTTGGGGTTGTTGAGCCGGCTATGGTTTGTGTATTCAAAAGTCTGTCTTGTTTGTTGTCTGTTTGACGTGCCTGTCAGGGAGAGGGCTTGTAATTAGGCCTTGCTGCTGAGTGAGTTTTATTCAGTTGGGAGGAGGAGGAGGGGGGGTCCCTCCATCCTTTTGGACTTGATTCTAGCACCTGAAGAGTTGTAAAAGTGGAGAGAGACTTTTTACATGCTGCTATGGAAGGCTTTGTTCTTGGTTCATAGTAAACTTTATGTAGCACTAATAAAATCACAGTGTTAATGCCAGCCTGCCACAAACACTAACATCTGGTACTCTTTGCAGCAAGTGGTAAGTCCTGCCTCATGCTGAAATGGAAAGGCTGGGATAAAGTTGTTCTATAATACTGCTGAGTTTTCCAGGGAAATCAGTATTCTGGTCTCTCTCAGTACAAGAAAGTAAGTGCTGTCTGTAGCTGAAGGAGTAACAGCATTGTGTAGAAGAACTCAGTAAAACGTTCTTTGGCACAAGAAATCTGTCTCCCCAGTAAATGTAGAGCAGGCAATTGTACGGCGTCAGTGCTAGCACCGCTATCCTGAGTTGGGACAGGTTGCTTTTGGGGGAAGACCTCATGTCAAGTGATTTGGATGTGACCTGGAAACCTGATGAGTCCCAGGTGTGGCACTGAGCAAAGCTGTAGGGAAGCAGAGGGGCTCCTGATCAGGGATTTACTGGTCAAGTCACTCCTATGTTCTAAGGAACTGTTGTTCCTTAAAGCTCAGACTAATATTAAGGAAAGCATGGTGATGGAGCGTAAAAAGATAAGCTTGTACTGAGCGGGAATAGAGAGTGGGCAGCTTGGAATCTCTCCCATCTCTTCAATCTCTTCCGCTTGAGCTGAAGGTAGTTGTTCAGCAAGCACAAGGTTTTGCTAGAGGAGACTTCATACCTTTCTGTCTTCTCTCTTCAGGATTCAGTACAGGTGTGTATTGCAGAGCCTCATGTCCTTCTATGGCATGTTGTCGACATCACTTCATCTGGTATCCGAGACCCAACAGATGCCCTATATCAAAGGGTTTACCTTCCCCTCTGATATTAGTAACTTCCTTGGAGTTAACGTTTCTTCTGAGGTGAAGAAGCAAAAGGCTAGAATGCTTACAACAAAAAAACCCACCAGCTGGCTGAAGAAGCTCTTCCCAACAATGCCAGAGGCAGTGTCAGAGGTTGGGAAAAAGAGAAATTTTGCAACCTGCACGAGTGCTGTGAAAAACTGTAGCATCCCGTGCCCCATGGACATCGGAGAGACGGTTCTGGTGACCAGAGCCAGCAGAGGTAAAGCCTTGTGCCACAGTGCTACTGGTTTCTGACATCTCAGAGACTGACCACAACTTCTGTCCAACAGAGCCAAGCACTTCTTCTACCCACAGAGCGCGGTTCTAGTACAAACTCCCCTCTCCTGTCCTTGGAACAGGAGGAGAATGCTGCATGTACCTGTGCCTTTATAAAGCTGTGGATAGTATCAGTATTGTGAGGTTTTGGGGGCTTTTTTAAAACATGATACAGCCTGGAGAGGAGCAGGTAATGAATGCAGTATACAGGTCCTGTAAATAGTTATTTGTATTTTCCTGCTTCTGCATAGATTGGGCCCAAGAATAGCGAGGAAAGCTAAGAGCATTGTCTGCAGTCCATACAAGAGTAGATAAGGTTGTAAGTACAGGATGCAAGTATCCTGTGCTTGCTGCTTCTGGGCGGTGCCCAAGTCTTCCCCTGCAGTCAGGGCTATGGCCAGTGACTGCAGGCATCCAGGTGTTTGTGTGAAGCTTTTACCCATTCAGTTCTCCTTTGCAGCTGTCTGTAAACCTCTGCATCCTCTTCATCCCTTGCCAGCTGCCAGGCGGGATGAGTGTAGTCCCCTTGAGTTTGCCTGGAAACGCTGAGTACAGGTGCGAGCCTGCTGAGACGGCAGGAGATCTGAGAGCTCAGCAGGGCAAAGACATTGCGGTGTCCCTGTGCAAAGACTTAAACCTGTCTTTACTTCGTAATGGGAACTCTCCTCTCTCTTTGTAGGGAAGCACCCGGGGTTTGATGTGAAGAGCTTACTTAGACCATCCAGACCTCCAACACAAGAGGTTTGTATGGTACTGTTTTTCACTTTTTTTTTTAACTTTGAAGACCCTAACTCTCAAAACATGATATCCCTGATTGAACATGTCCCCTTTCCCTGCCTTATTTTTGCTTGTCTAACAACCCAAGTTAGTGTGGAGGCTTTGCACTGAAAATCACTCCTAATTTCTGCTTAGGAATTTGAGCATTTGTTGGTATGTCAAGTGAATTGACCAGAGAGCAAGTCAGTAGTAGACAGGAATACAAATTCTAATTACCTGCCTCTTTTTGTATTCCACACAACAAGACTGCTCTTCCACTTTCTCCTTAGGAAATAAGGAATGTTCTCACAAAAACCTCAGTGCTCTGCTCCTCTCCAGCAGAGAGAATCAGGCATGTCATGTTTTTAAAAGACTAACTACTTCTGTTACTCTTTGTTTCAGGGTATAATCATTGCATCAACACCTTTTAAAGCAAAGTCGGCATCGCTTTCCTCTCGTATAGCAAAATCGCAGCATAGTGGATCTCTTGTACAGATGGTCCAAACAGCTACGTCGTTTGAGGAACTGTCAGAGGCACTCAGAAAAGCTATTCTGTGGTGCAAAGGCAACAAATTCAAATTGGAAACTTATTTTCTGCGTAACAAGCTGTTGAAAAGCAACCGGCTGCACCACGTGGAGGCTCAAGGATGCAGGTAATTCTGCGTGGGTGTGGGGTTTCTGGATCTGACACTTTACATCTTAATATTTATGTATTTTACTACAGTGTAGAGAAATGCAGTGGTCTAACCCATTCTTTTTAAATGCAAACGGGATCACTAGTTCAGGTTACTGGACGCTCTTGACATGAACTTTCTGTTTAGCTTCAGTCATTTGTGAAAGTATTTAGAAGGCTAACAAATGCATAAATACTTATGAGGGAGGATGAAAATGCAACTTGAATCATGTGCATGTTTAACGGTAACTATTATATGATGCAAGGGGTGTCATCTTTCTCCAGAATGCCCTGGCTACTATTGTACAAGGTGCTGGTGTATCTCCTTGGTATGACAAGGAAAATGGTAGAGAAGGCTAATAACCAAATCTCTCCAAACCCCAAATGAAATAACTTTAGCAGCTGATAAAGTTATGTTTATCTTCCTCCCCTTAAGCTTGAAGAAAAAACTGTGCTGTGTCAAAACATCTGTCTGTAAATACCTCCTATATGGGTCACAAAATGCACGCTGGCCAAAGCAGTACCTCAGGGCATGGTTGTGTCGAAGGAGGATCAAATCATCTGTGCACTTGAAGAGAACTCTGAAGACTGTTCGGCAAAAGCCTTCTGAGCGTTTTGGAGCCTGTGAGAACAGTGCATCACTCATCCTCCCAGCTTACCAGGATGGGCCTCTGAGTCGGGAAGGATGTTCCAGTGCTGATACAGGCTGTATCAAACTAAGCACAGCAGGGACCACTAAGCAGCTGTTGCTGGAAGGAAGCCCTGGCCCTGTGTGGAAAGAAGCTGCTGAGAACATGGATATTGATTCTATTTTTGCAGCAATGGGTGTCTGACCCTGGACTTGCAAGGAGGAAAGGGGTCAAGTCATTCCAATTTTTTTTTTTAAGTAAAACCCTCAGAACCCTGATGGTGTCTTGGTAATTCACACCCTGAATTCTGCTAAGAAAGTAGCAACTATTTTACTATGTTTTTGTAAAACAGCTTTTTTTATGGAAGGGTGTTCCAAACAGCTGAATAATCTTAATCCTTTTACCTAGCCTTGTCCAGGAACAGTGACTTTGAGTTACCCTTACTCAGTGTCCCTTGTCTGTTGCTTGACCACATGTTAAGTGCTGCTGTCAAATCCACAGTGCAAATAGTTACCATCCATGGTGGAAGGCTGCAGCTGATCACTTACTGCTGCTGAGGACAAAGGACTTGCTGCCACTTTTCCAAGGAAACAGTTTTATACCCTTCCTTCTGTGCTGCTTGTATAGGGGACAGCCTTGACTTGCAGTATTATCGCTGTTCAGCATTTGTTATCCTTGTCCTGAAATGAGGAGTTAACTAAACCTACTGCCTCTGAGCTGCTCCAGAAGTAGGGGAAAGCACAGCTGTGGCCTGCAACAGTAAACTCCTGACTGGTGAATATGTTTCCCACTGTCCTGACATCTTTTTAACATAAGTGCAATTTCTGCCTGCTTGGCAATGTAAGATGTAGCTATGCCAACGTGTATTAATGAAATAATGTTAGAACAAGCAATGGGGTTGGTGCTTTCTGCCAGGCTCTTGCTTGTAATGCAGTCCCAAGATCAGGATCACCAGGAAGTACTACGAAAAAATTGTCTCTGAATGAAAACCAGGAATCTGCTTTATTGTACAGCACCTGCCTAACAGGGGTAAGGAAAGGCTGTAAGTGCAAGTAAATCTGGAATAGGTTATCTTCAATTTCCTAGGCTTAATACTGGTAAAAAACAAAAGAGCTCTACCCCTTGGGACAGAAGAAAAAATAACCTTCCTAGCCAACTAAGTGCTAAAAACCCTGGATTATGTACCTTGTGTGAATTGATCAATGTAAGTTTAATTATGAGGAGTGGGCAGAAACTTAAAATGTTTTATTCAAAGAGCATATAAAGAGCAAAGAGCAGAACTTGTATAGTTCTGTCCAGTTAACCAAGATCCATTTTCTAGGTTTCCTGTCACTGGAATACCCAGTGATAATTGAAATAGTTGTAGAGAATGACCCATCATTAGCCCTCTAGATATCTGATTCAGCACAGTCCTACTTCAAACAGACTTCCTGCCATTACAAGAATCTTTAGAGCTTCTTCTCATTTCATAAAATGGTATAAAAATATGTAAGTATACCGCATACAATCGGATAACATTCAGCTGCTTGAATACTTTTCAGAAAAGGCTGTGAGCGAGGGCAGACATCCCAGCAGTGACCTCCATCCTGAATAACCCCTCCAGACAACACCCATGACATTCCTTCCTTCTGGGCAGCAGGTGCCCAAGTAATGCCTCAGTGCAGCCTCCGTGCAGAATCAAGATCCGTAGTTTGCTTCATCAAAGGCCTTTCTGGCTCGTTTCAGTTCTTCATTCATAGTCAGGAGGTCTTTAACTCTGGCAAACTTCCGGGGGTCCTTGCGGATTAGAAAGACAATGTCTTCAACCTGTACACGGCCCTGCCGCCCAATCGACATTGCCTTGTGTGTCTGTTACAGGAAAAGAGGAAAGTCAGCGGGGTTCCTTTGCCCCTTAATTTCTTTTAAACTCTCAATTCCACTTTATTCCCTGTCATTTTATAATCAAAAAGTAAGCAACTGCAGGATCTGGGCACCACCATCCTAGTCACAAGAGAACTTCCCAGTAAACCATGGACTTACTGTCGCTCTGCTGTCCCCAGCTGCCTGTCGCTTACACCCAGCACAAACCACTATATACACATGAGATTAATGACATCAAAACTAAAGCCAGATTACATGTAGGACACCCAACCTACAGAGTGCTTGAAGATGAACAGCATCAGGCTGAACTTGGAAGCAATGTGAAGTACCTGTATCACAGGACAGCTTAGGGCATTTTGATGAGGGAAGGCAAGGCCAAACTTTCAAAAGAAGGGGGATCCACAAACAGTCGGAATAACTTTTTTCAAAAAACAAAACAAACTTTCAGGCAGTATCCACATGTCTGGAAGAGTGATGGCTTCAGGCCCCAGAAGTTTGCATTTCTTTTGTAGTGCAGAGCTATGTTCCTATCCATGTAAAGACATGGAGTACACAAAAAGTCAATAGGCTTTCAAAGCTGTGCCTTGTTTTTTTTCAGCTGCACATATAGTGATGCCACAGTGAACCCCAAAGTCAGATGTATTTTTGCCCCCCCCCATACTAATCTAAATGCTACTTAAGGACTTCAGTCACTGTTCTAAATCCACATGGAGCAAGATGCATGAATTTTGCCTTAATCTTGGAAGAGCAAAGTCTAAGTTTAGCTTTCTCCTACTAGCATCAGAGTTTTGGGCCTGGGATAATGCAGTATTTCAGTGAGAGGTATTAACCTTCAGAAGACTAAAGTCTTAGTAAGGATGTTTTGACCATGCTGTCTAGAGCTGACTTACCATTTCTGTGATAAACTCTATTACCAGGTCCTCAAGAATGTCCACTGATTCTGTGTAAGGGTTCTGGTCATCCCCGAATCCATACATCATGCATCTTACTGCAGAAAGAAACACTCGGTGTGAGGCTTCTTTCATCCATTCAGCGCTGTCAGCAGCACGCATCTAATTAGAGCTCACCAGCCTACACATTCATGCACCAGGATGGCATTCTTGTCTGTTGGGCACGACAATTCTTGAGCAAACGTACAGGAAATAAGCAGGTAGACAGAAGCCAACAAAAGCCTAGTGCTGTATGTACAGAAAAGCACATCTGATGACAGACTCTTTAAATATGCATTTAGCCTACCAAATACGGAACACTGACTGACAGCGTGACTGACTTTTGGCACAGTTAGGTTAGGAGGATGCATTAGCAGTATTTTTTGGGGGGGTCTACACGACAGCTTTCTACACTTTCAGCCAGGGCACTGAATCAAAGCACCTGTTTTGCTGAGGAAAACTGAGTTCTGGAGCTCCACAGCTGCCTCCTCAGAGTTTCAGCTGTGTTTGGGGGAAGGACATCGTCCTAAAAAGCTGCAGGGAGCCCTGCGGTGAGTGACCCGTCAGCGCTGGGCAGGGGTTTCTGGCCCGGCTCGACTCACGTTCTTTGGAGAACAGCCTCTTCCTCTTCCCTTGCCCGCCGTCCAGGCCCCCGCCGGCTTCTTCCGCGTCTTCTTCAAACTAGACGGTACAGCGGAGGAGAGGCCGCCGTCAGCGGCGGGGGGGGAACCCCTTCCCTTCCCGCTACCCTCCCGCCCCAGCCCCGGTTCGGGGCGAGGCCTGGGCCAGCAGCCGCCCCC